ATAAAGAAACCAGTTCTCTTTTTCCTGGATTCTTGCTACCTGTCCAACCCCTCCCCCCTACTTAAAAAAAATATATTTTTTTATTCTTATTATCCCTTTGCACTTTTAAAAGGTGTTTTACTGCAGAAAAGTTTGTTTTGCTTCTGAAGGTGTGGACACAGCAGCAGGTTTTTGTGGGACGAGGTGGTGCGGTGTTAAAGAAAAGCAGGTAGATTATCACTAGCCAGCAGAACAAGTAAATTATCACTAGTCTAGATCGACTGTAGTGTTTTATGGAGGGTTGCTATAGTTGGCCTATGCTAAAAGGGAACATCATGTTCTTACCAAGGTGTTGTGTAATACTTGGCATGAATGTGCTGTAGACATTGTATTATACTCATAATGTTACCACATTGTAATTAAGAGGTAATCAGGTGTTTCTGAAAATGGATTTTTGTGTCCAGGGTTCAGCTTGCGTGCCCCAGAATGTCTTTAGGAGGATGATGGGGACTTTTAATTGGGTTTCCTTGCTCCCGGAATCATATTTCCCACATCCTACTTGGATCTCTATTCTGCAAGTTTTGAACTGCTTCAGTATTTATTATCCTCTCTGCTTAAGCACTGAGGAGCAAATGAGTCAATATCAGTGTGCTGTTAGTTTTATTAATTTAAAGGACTTTGAATTTGGGGAAAAAAAAAAAGTGGACTTTAAGGCAGTGCAGATGGTGCTGTTCTGTGCAGGATTTAAAAGTGCATGATCCATTTGTGCCCTTACAACAGTTGTCTCAAGCTTACCTACTGTTAGGTTGGAGGCCAAAATGATGTTGCTGTGTGTGGGTTAGGTAGTAAAGCAGATCTCTTGCTTGTTCRCTTTGTTAGGTAAAGAATAACTTCCCATATTGGTTTGCAAGTTTTTAGCTATGAGGAAAGGGCTTTTTTTCTCATAAATTGTGCTTAAAGGGTACTGCAAGAGAAGAAGGCAGCTCTTTAAGGAGCACCTCAGAGGCCGCTGGCTTTGTGCTCTCCTGCTGGGGCTTCCTGGGGCCCTGGGCTGCCTGTGTGAATATACAGAGTGGCAGAGAAGACCCAAGGGAGGGAGGATCAGGTGGCCTGGGCATGACAGCAGGGGCTGCGGGGCTGCTCTCTAGCTCGTTTTGTTCGCGCTCACAGGCAGCATCCATATGCACGTAGTAGGAGAGTGCCGGAGCACATGGGGATCCGCGTGCCTGAGCATACGCGCCGTGATCTGGCACTCCGGTAAGTGGCTTAGTAGATCACCAGGCCCGCCTGGGCAGCCTGCTTGCAGCCCGCCTGCCCGCAGGCAACGCGGCAGTGCCTCTCCCTTCGCGCTGCTGCTTCCCCGGGCACCCTTTAAGTGCATGTGTGCTCTTTGTGTCCGAATGCCAGCACTAGGCTCGTACTGGTCTAGTTCAAAACCTTCTCGTTTGGTGATTTTTCTCTCTTGAGAGAATTCCTGAGACTAGCAGGGTACCGAGTTCTCATGCAAGGTGCGCGGCCAGTGGCTCTGAAGAGCTTGTTCTCCCTACCTAACCACATGCGCAAGTGTGGTTGTGAGGCTGCATTTACCTTCCTTGAGCTAAATATTTGTGGAGTACAGTCGTTCCTTTTCCTTCATTCTTTCCTAAGAGGAAGCAAAACTTTTTTTGGAAAGCCTCTGGCATGCTGTTTGAGTTAGAAGGAGACTGAAATGCACACAGAGAGCACCTTAGTAGGCAAGAGTTGAAGGTTATTCTGCAGGGCACAGGAGCAAGCTGCGGGAGTACTGTGCCAGCAGTACCATGTTCTCCTTGAAAAGATAGGCTGGTGGGGAAGAAAATTGGTTTGTACACCAAAATAATTGGGAAAAAACAGTGGAGTTTTACTTCCAGCTATTAGGAGTGTATTGTGTTAGTACTTATTGCTTTATTTATTTATTTCCCTATGGATATAATGGCTAGACGTTTCCTTGTGTGTGTGTTTCAAACTRTAGCTTAATAAAAGTTGAGCTCAAGCTCTCCAGTTTTGTGAACATCATGTGCTTTTAAAACTGCATGGAAGCACTCCAGTGTTAAATAACAGTTGTGCTTGCCATAATTGAAGCTTAGGGGTACAAGATGAGGTGGTTAGGATGTACTGTACCTCTCCCCGCTGTTGTTCTTGCCTCCTCTTCTCCTTATTCCTTGTGGCTTTTGTATCTTTTGTGTGCATGTGTGTTTGCTTGACCTTGTATCTCATGCATGCACTTCTGTGTCTCTTATTTTCCCCTACCTAGCTTTTCTCTAATTGTACAAAGTTCTTCAGGATGTTAAGTTCTTTTCTGCCTGAAATTCCCTTTCTCCTGGGTATAGTAATGACTGTCTGTGCTGTGGGTTCCCRTGTGCCTTAAGCTCTTATTTGTCAGTACTAATATATCCAACTGGTAGGATAAGTATATCATATTTGTTAGCTTGCACACTTGGTGGGGTGTGTTAGTGATGCAGTGAGACCCACTTTAGTGATAATCAGGCATTTTTTGGTACAGAGCCTTTCAGAAAGGGACTTCCATTTTGACTGAAATATTTAGGCATTATTGCAGTTTGGATCTGGTCAAAGAGTAGTATTAGACTGAAACCTGTGTAAGTGTAATGCCATATGATGAAGTTCTGCCCCCTTTTTAAGGGAAGAGAGTAGTAGACATTCAATATATTCCTTAATGGTGATGTTAACAAGTATTAAAATTAAAGTACGATGCTATAGAGATTTCAGAAAAAAATATAGTTTCACCTGAAATAAAGTTAAGATGTATGACTGCATGATAAGGATGATTCATTTTCCCTTTTAGTAACAGTGTGTTCTCTAATGTACCCACGTGGATTTTCTTGCTCAACAAGCCAAGAGCTGATGTGTGCAAAGTTGGAGGGTTGACTGCGATTCTTCTGTTTACTCCACTATCCAGGCATGTTTAGTTCGGCTCAGGAAGGGAATAGTTCTCATTTAAGGAGAAATCAACTATCTTTTAAAAACCACACTTAATACAAAGCATATTTAAAAGTAAACAAAATTAATTGTGGATTTTGAAGGATATCTAGAAATTAACACAGGGACAGGTATGGAAAATGCTTCTTAGCTACTCGTGGGAGTTATGTTTGTAACTGGCTTCTTACAATCATGTGAAGGCAAATGATGGATTAAGAGTTGGCACAGGTCAATAAACACAATATGGATGACAGTCTTTGTCTTTTCAGTCAATAAGCACAATATAGATGAGATTCTTTGGCTCTTCATGAGGTTAGCTTCAACCTCATGAAGTTCAACAGTGTGCTGTTACCATACTATCTGTGGTAAAATAGAAGTGACTTTGTCCTGGTATTGCAGGTAGCTCTTTGGTATTAACTRTCCTGCAAGGAAAACAGGCAGCTTAAAAAAATCAACAAAAAAGCCCCCAATAGGGGAGCTCTAGGGAGGAAATGAAATAATAGTTATAAATGGGAGGGTGGAAAAATAAAGTCTCCCTTGATGTTTAGGCTGCTTCAGGAAGAGAAGTGATTGGTGGGATAAAATTGGGTCAATTTAGGAACTATGTGTTGGGAACTGAGGAATTGGTTCATTGGGACATGGCAAAGAAACAGCTTTAAGAATCTCTGCTCATATCTTGAAACGTGGAACTGGTCTTGATGATGATGTGCATCCTTCATCCCATTTGAATTAGCTCTCTGAGGAGGTTACAATAGTAGTAAAGTAATAGTTATACATATATGTGTAACTGCTCTTTATATATGCATATTATTTGCATAACTGTTCTCCATATATGTTATAACTTCTATGAGTCATCTTGCATTTCATTACTAAATTACCAAAATTTATTTTTCATGTTTTTTTTAAGTCTTCTCGTAGACCCATACAGATTTACTTGATTTTATTTTTCAGGAACACATTGGTGACACTTTCTGCCTGATTTGAACAGATCAGAATTAGTGTGCTCATTAAGGTAGGTGTCCTACATACACTTTTCCCCAGAAAGCCATTATAATAACCAGTTCTTTCTCGGTCTGTACCGACTTTCTGTTGTTGCTGCTGCTTTGGATGCTGCTCTTGAACTGTAGTCTTACCAGAATGCTGGAAATATAAATGTATTCAGGACTTTAAGAAGACCTGCTGCACAAATCATTAAGTGCTTGGAAGCAGTCTAGCTTCTGTAATTTTAGGGAAACTGAAATGATTTAGTGTAATATCCAATATGAAGTGCYGTGTTAATGATGTTTGCTGCACGGTAGTCTATTAATAATTTTCAGGTTTTGTATTGTAGATAATTTTAATGAAAAGGAAAATTTTAGGGTTCAATCAATCCAAGATGTTGCTGTGCCTAGGAAAAAAACAAAACACAAAAATGATACGCTTATTAACTACTGCTATTTTAATATATATTCAAGAACCTCAAGAACATTCAAGAATGTGTGACTTCAACTCTGTTGACTTATGGATGTCTTAAATTCAATGTTTGAGAAGCTGCTGACAAAAAAGCTTGTTGTAGTTCGAGTGGGATGTGTTCTGGATAGAAGGAAAATGTAGTGGGGGGCAGAGGGAAAGTCGCACAACCTGTGATACTAAGGGCACTTGCCCAAAGGGTTTTATTCTATGTGCTCTGATGATGGGGCAGGAATGGGCCGAAGGCAGAAGAATAAGACAGAATAATATCCAGTTCTGGATAGTACTGTGACACTCAAAGGAACAGGAAACACTAACTGAGTATTTTGAGGATTAATACTCCAGTGAATGATTTGTCTAAATGACTAAAGCTAAAGCTACAAACATTGAACTGTTTAGGTTCTTAGAGCTAACATGTTGACTTTTATTTTTATGTTTTTATGCTGCAGGTATGACTTCAATTCTGTTTAGACAGTGAACTTGGCTGTGTTCCTGTAATACAGGTGTGTTCCCTAGAGCAGGTTGTTTGTTCTTTTCTAATATTTGATGTCTGTGTTTAAAATAGATTTCCTCAGTATTAAAAGAAATATCAGAAACTCAATATTCTTTCTATACTGATGAAATTAGAYGACTTTTTATAGAAAAGCCTTGTTGAGATGCCGTGCATGGATATTCTGTTGGCTTCATTTAGGGATCTGTAAGGAGCATTTCCTGAGGGAAAGAACTCTTCTGTTCTGTAGGATTTTAACYAAGTCACCTGCATGTTTCCTCTGATAAATCTAATCTCCTGGTTCTATTATTTCATTTTAACTGATAAAAGGGGTGGTTTGAATGACTTTTATGTAGTTTCAGATAAATTCCTCTTGATGTAGATTTGTCTTAGATTCTAGGTAACTTAAAATTCTCACAATAAGCCTTTTCATAAGCAATAGGAACTGCTTTCTCTTAATTTCTTCCTAAACGCATTAAATAGATGAAGCCAATGTTATATCCAGTTCAAATGGTGCATACAACTATCGTGAATGTCCTCTTCAAACTCATAGTTTGTTTTTTTTTGTAAACATTTTTAATGGTTTATTACCTAGGAAAATTTTGTGATAGGGCTGTTAAACTAAATGGGTGCTATGTCACTTCATAAGTAGTCAGACAAATTCTTGTGGCTAATTGCTTGCAGATCTTGATTAAAGGTGTCAAATTTTAAGTTCCACTGTGGAATATGAGACTTGCAGGGAGATGAGCTGGCATGAAGGAATTGGAAAGATTATCTTTAAATGAGTATTGAACTAGTGCAGAAAGCTCTTCCATGTTTTCAGTATATATGCTAAAATGCATTGAATTTGCAAGTACCTCAGCGTAAAGCTGTTCCTAACACTCCTCATGGTCAGAAATAGGGTTTATCATTCACAACCTGTCTTATCAACTCATGAAGTGAAAATGTATAAGGAACTAGCCTGAGCCCAGATTCATACCGTAATCTGAGACTTGCAAAACTCTCGTTGGATTTGCAGTGTGATGCAGAATGGAACGTTGTGAATAAATTCTTCCTGAAGTCTGGCCAAGGCAAATGTACTCTTAACAGCTGGTAGAGACATAGCCTTTTAAATAAGGCATGTTAACATGGGCTGTCTGCCAAAACGGTTAGCTTGGGATTCAAATAGTTTTCCAGAATTTTTTTTTTCCAAACATTCCTTGCGCATATTCAAACGCAGTACTTGGAGTGATGTAATCGTTCCCCACACAAAGAAATTTGCCTTTTTGAACTTCTGCTGTTTGTTTTGGAGCTCCTTTGTGTAGTGACATATTCCAATACGCTTAGTGTGGAAGATTCTGTTACTTTAAGCTTTAGGAGACCTTACTCTTAAGTGTTTAAAATGCAAAGTTGTGTCTGTGATTGCTCTGTTGAATGTTTAACCACTATTTATCTGCATAGGGATGGCATAACTGTGAGCATCTCTGGTATCTGTTTGAAGAGGACACTGTTGGGGGGCCCAGGTATTTCTTTTATATTTTATAGTTTTAGAGGTGTCCGGACTCTGTAATGGTCCAAGATTTCCGGTAGAAGAGGATGAGACAAGAATTAAGTGCATGCGGGAGACTCTGGACCTAGGCACTTCGTGCTTTTCATGCTAGCTGGGAGGGAACTTGATAAACACTTTTACCAGCCTTTCTTAGGAAAAACAGGTAAGGAACATACATAATTGTTACGGTTCATGTTAGAAAGATGCACTCTTGTTCTGTAGAGTTTATGCAGAAAATATACTGGTGTATGTTTTTACCCTAAACTGTAATTTCAGTCATATACATATTAAGAACTGTTTGTTGGATGTAAACTGTGGGAATTAAGTTATTTGAAGAAGGAATTTTAGCCAAAAAATTACTTTTCCTTAAATTCAAGTTTGAGTTTCTTTACTATAGGCAGAAGTGTCCTTCCGATAGAGAGCTTTGAGAATAAGCTTGTTTCCTTTTATAGAAAGGTCAATTGTCTCTTCCCTCACCCCTCTTATTATTTTTTTCCACTTTGTTCTGAAGTATACTACAGCTTAAAATAGTCTTATATTCAGAGTTCCCCGGAACTGTGAATCACTACCAGCCAAATATGACATTAATGCTGTGAAATCCAGTTTGCATAGAACACTTGTGGTGTCCTATATTATGTCAATAAGATTAATAAATTTGGATGTGTATACACACACACATACACCTTGCTTCAAAAAGGCTTGCTGGAAGCTGTTGCTATACAGTTTATTTCTTCTATAGTGAAGTCTGAAACTAGCTTTCCCCCCTTTCCTCTCTTTCCTAGAAAGTGTCCTAGTGAAGACATTCTGTTAATTATTTTATCTATTGCTACAAAAAAAGTAGAGTTCTCAGAGCTAGTGCTGGTGAAGTCATGGCCATGCAGATGGGCAAGTCATTTTTCCATTATTCATGTTTGTTTTCAATATTTTTTCCTACTCCGTTGCTGCCAAGCATTTAATTATTGTCTAATTGCACTGGCAGAAAGCATTCATTCTAGATGTTAATTTTCAATTTTCTCTAAAATTGCATGATATGACTAGATCCCTGCTAGTTGCTCTTCATACAAATGAGAATATTTTACCACTTGCCAGCTCGTCTTTCAGAAGACACTTGAAAAGTCACCTTGGCAATAAAACCTCYAATAAAATAAAATCCTGACTATGAGAAATGTCTCCTGTCAGGCTTAGCACGGTTACAGTAAGTTCAGGTGATTGAAACAGTCCTAAACTKTTGTGTACCTCTTGCTTCATTTTTACATAAGGTTCCTATTTGTTACAAATTTAGAACCAGAGGAGTCTTCAGAGTCTTGAAATGTTTTCTTCTTGCTCAGTTCCTAAGTTGGTTTATCTGGTACTAGATTTTATTTAATTTTCATCTTTCAGATATTGATGCTAGAGAGGTGGTTTGTTTCCTGAAAAGAAATCTGTTCTATGCATATAACGATGCAGGCTCATGCTGAGATTAGACTCATATTTTAGACTCATGTTAGACTCATGTGGCACTTGTGTCATGTTTTCCAAAGGAACTTCCCTCCTTGATGTTTTACAGTCTAGTCTAAATTCTTAGGAGGCTTTCTCGGAAGCAGAAAGCTGTTATTTCCTCAAGGATTGTCCATTTATCTTCTGGGAGTGTTAAACCTTAAGCTCTTTCTGGTGGAGGAAAAGGAGCTTTTCTGGCTAATGTGTAGCCAGAAGATGCTTTGTGCTTGTCTAACCTGGCAATATCAGTGCTTGATTAATGCCTAAATTATTGCCCAGCGGAAGGATTTTGTCTTTTCCATACTCTGTTGCAGAGTATTGAGAGGTCCGGACTGAGAGAGTGACTTTGAGAAGTTTGCTCTGCCAGGAGGAGTAGACTGCTTTGTGTGCCAATTGCCTTAAAACTGAGCCTGGCTTGTGCCAATTTCAGATTGAAAACAAGTATTTATTTACATAATCAAAACAGAAATGTACTTTATAACTTAGAAAGATACAGCAGAAAGAAAACAAAACTGAATTTAACTTCCTTATCTCACTATCAAGTCTAAAATCTTTCCTTGTTTCCTAAAGGCAAGCTCTTACTTCCCTGATGAGCTTAGTTTGGGATGCAGTTAGCATCTTCAAACTGCAGGAGCAAGAGAGGAAAGGGTACTCTTGTTTTTTCATTCCTGTTTGGTTATTTACTTGGAATGTATTCAAGCATATAAGTGGAATGGATATGTGCAATTTATTATGGCCTTCTGACTGAGATTAGTTACAATATTAATTAATCTCTTTGGGATGACTGATCCTCTGTATTACTGAAGTGTTAGCGTGGTGCTCGACTATGCATGCAGATGATTCACTTAAGATATTCTGCTGTCTGAGACGAAATTCTAGCCAGATGCACCATTCGCTTCTTAGCTAAAATTGCAGGCACAGAGCACAACGAAGGATAATTGCCCGTCTGTTCTCTTCTCACAGTTGTTCTGATCTCTTCTTGGAGAATTTTTCCAAACTTATACATTAATGTTGCTCATACACCCCCACCCCTCCACAGTCCCAAGTGTGTGTTTGTTTTGTGGTGTTCTTCTTTAATATAAAATTCCATCGGATTTTGTTTTGGGTAAACATCTCTTCCTATCTTCTTCCACCTTCAGCTCCACACCTCTCCGTATGTTCTTTTGCTTGTTCTTCAGTGAGGCCTTTTTCAAGTTTTTATTGGTGCTTTAGGATGTTGCAATCAAAGATGACTGGATTTAAATATAGCTTCTCTGGCACGTTCTGTTCCCAGCTAACTATGGCCGTAATTAATGTCCGCCTTCTTTGAGAGATTTCGGCACTGTCAGTGAAGGCATCAGCCTCTTCCCCACAAGCCCTTAAAAGTCCGTGTTAATTTGTTGATGTTCTTTCCTCCTTGTTCTTCCTGTATTCCTTGATCTGATATGTGCTGGTGGCCCTGAGGTGTTTCAGATTTTTGAGCAGATTTAACTTGTGGCGACATAAATTTTGGATAGGAATATCATTTCACTTGGACAAGTTAGGGCAACTTTAATAAAAGATGCTTTTAAAAAGAAGGTTATACTAGCCTGTTCTCCATCACTGGGATATGCATTTCATCTCTGGGATTATTGGAGCCCTGGGCTCCCAATTGTAATCCCTATAATATAGTTATGTAGGAACCGTGGAGAGACTTGYGGGCCAACCTGCATAAGCTCTGTTGTGTAGCCAGTTAGAAGCAGCAATAATGCTGTGTGTTTTCTGTTCACAAACTTTTGMCAAATGGCAAAAGGGAGAAAAATCACATGATACCGTCCCTAGGTCAGTATCCATTTCTATTGGCAATTTTTTGCACTAAAGTTACTGGCTATCTTGCATGTATATGCATCTTGACTACAGTTACCTTCCGCCTAAAGAAGTACTATTGAAATAATGCTGAACTAACCTCTACCTTTGGAACAAAGCACAGTGCAAGAGTGATGTTGGATTTCATCTCCAATTCTTATATTAAAATCCCCTTATCAGAGATGTCTTTGCAGTCTTCTTTCCAAAGCTTCATTTGAACCGCAATGCAATTAACCCGTGCAATTTTGTGGCTGCAGCATTTACTCGAACTGAACACAATACTTGCCTGCAAACAGGGAAGGTAAAAGGCCMTCCCTTTGCCAGCTGGGAAGGTTGCTGCAGGACCTTTACTTGGCAAGTGCTCTGTAGCCTTAACTCTCTCTGAGAAATAGTGATACAGCTGATGCTTGAAGTGGCTTCTTGAGAGTGATTTCAGACTTCAAACCGTATAAACGCCCTTACCTAGGCAGTAGTTGAACCAAGAGATTTACTTGGCTGGAATGGGCTGACATTTAATAAAATGCTCTTTGTCTGTACAGTAGCAAATTTTTCCTCGTGTATTCTTTATGTAGGTGTTTCCCCAATGCCACTTTCCACTTGGATTTTTGTTTTGAACCCTGTTACGTTGCARGGTACCGGCAGAGAAGACCAGTTGTTGCTGTTCTGGCTTTGTGCTTTCTGCCTTTGCTACGCAAGGGCCATGAAACTGTGCCAGCACCATGGGTACCACTGCCCAGCAGCAGCTCCATTCACAAGCTGAATGCGTGAGGTTTATCCCCTGGAAATAAACTGTCACTAGTTATCTGGGTTTGCTGATGAGCTAGATGGGTTATCCTTCAGATAACTCATCTGATCATCAGATAACCTTTCTGGTCTGGTTTAATCATTTGCCATCGGAGTGTTTGCCATTGCAAAATGATACTGGAATTTCATCTGAGAGCAAATATTCTTTTATTGCATTTTCTAGATTATGTAATTTCTAAAACAAAAGCAGTTTCCTTAGCTCAGAGAGAGAGAGAGGGAAAAAAAGCTGGAGATGCTAAGGTGTGATTTACTGCTTGTATCCTACTATTCTATTTAAAAGGATGCTAATTCAATACCGATAAATGGAGCTGATGTGAACAGAATCAAAAGTGAAGTTTTCGTGTGTGTTGTTATATGTCCTTTTTTTTAATAACTAACTGTAATGGGGTTCTTGTAAATAGTGTTATTAGGAACATGTATTTACCAGTAGTAACAGTTTAAATAAGTGTCCCTAAACCATACTTCACCTTTCAACTTAAAACAGGTATCTTGCATATTACTTTGGCCAAAAGAAGAGAATGAGCAGTTCTTTCTTCCGAAAAGTTCAAAAGTAAATGTAAAATGTCTGGAAAAGCAGCTATCAGGAAGGTAAGAAAATTATTTCACTGCCTTTAGTGGGAGGGGAGCAAGACCACAGTGCATTTAAAATGAGTATTGAGTTCAAGCCACTTATTTATAGGTTTTTTTAAAATACTGATTCTGCATTAAATAGTTATTGCAGCTAATATTAGCAGACCTGAGCTGCAGATTTTTTTTGATTGCCACTTTCTCCTTTTCTGTGGATTTTGCTCAAAAAAGAAGTACCTGTTCCATGATACTACCTTGTTAGACTAGCGATCGTAATCAGCTTTAACTTTCCACCACCAAAGTGTTCAGTATAAAGCTATCACTGATTTTATCAGGTGATGAGAATTCTGGCTTGTCAGCAAGGGCAAAAAATAAAATCTTTTTTTTCTTCCCCTCCTCCTCAGGTTTGTGGGTCTGTGCTTCCAGGCAGAATTTATACAGACAGAACATTCTGAATATGACCTAACTTGTTCTTGCTATTGTTAGTGTTTTTAATGAGTGCTCCATGGACTGTATCCAGTTCAGGGGGTTCTGCGCTAGCACTGTGGAACAAAACTCTGAACAGCAACCTGGTATCAGTGAAAATTTGTCTTCGTCRTTTTCTTTAAAAGAGCAACAGAAAATGAGTGAGTTTTCGGGACTTGCAAGCAACCATAGCCAGATGATTGCCGGAGATCCAGAAATTCAGGCAAAGCCTGAACAACCTCATGAAGTTCTTCAGGAAGATATCGAGATGAGCAGTGGATCCAGTGGAAATGACTTCAGTGGGAATGACACAAATGAAAACTATTCCAGTGGACATGATTCTCATGGCCATGAATCCGATGAAAATGGGAAAGGTTCAGCAATGCTCATGGAATCTTCAGACTGTCAAAAAAGGTAGTTGCTAATTTTGGTTTTGTCACTGCAGACCTCTTTTCATTCAAACCTAATATAGGGTTCATAACCACAATATAAAGCGTATCTTCAATTTGGAGCTTACTGTTCCTTCCGCTAGTGAACTTGTACTCTCGAGTGCTGTAAACTGTGCAATATGTTTAGTTAATAAAGTAAAAGTCCCTAGCATTTCAGAGGACCAGCTTAACTTCAACGTTCTCTCATTATTGCTTGTTTGTTTGGCCTTTTATACTTACTCTTGTAAATATAAACTTATAATTTAGAACTTCTTCTTGCTTAGAACTTCTTTAAGTAGCAAAAATTACTGATAGATTCTTTTATGTCAGGATGCAGCTGTACTATTTTAATCTTTTAAGCAGTAGCTTAGTGTACAGAGTAAAGAAACTGTAAGACCTTCTTAGAGACAAAAATATAATATTTCCAGTTAGTTTCCATTAGCTATGCTGGACAAAACCTTTTAAAGTGTCTTTTTCTCCCCTCAAATAGCCAGTCGTTAATGAGGAAATAACACAGCTAAGAAATAAAAGTAATATATTAGATTTACTAATACCATTCTCTTTCTTTGTTCTAGTTCAAGCTCAAATGCATTTAGTCTGATAATTGCAAACTCTGAGCACAATCAGTCTAGCAGTGGATGCAGGTAAATGAATATACATTAATTTTTGATAAGCCACTTGAGATTACTTATTGATTTCTTTCATAATTGTAATGTACATACTGATGAATCCTCAGTAGTGGATGGGTGTGTGTGTTTTGGGTTTTCTGGGAACATGTTTTCCATGTGCTTTGGCCTCCATCTGGAGGAATATGTGGAATCCTACCCTGTTTCATTCACTTTCTATCCAGTCAGTAGAACATGCCTTGTGTCTTGTAGGTCCTCTTGGCATTTGGTTGAATTAAAGCTCTTTGTTCCTGTTCTGTGTAAGTTGTGCAGTAACCTCTGGCTTCTTACTTTGATTTGGTAACTTTTTTTTTTTTTTTTTATGGTTAATTTGAGGTATTGCTTCAGGTAGAGTGGCTTTTTTGAAGTTTGTCTTTAAATATGACATGATTCAGATTTTGATCTGAGTCCCTTTCTTGAGGACTGAGTAGCAAGTTGACATCAAAATTCACCCACCGAGTTGAATGTGTTATCATGTCCAGCAGCCATACCATACGTCTCTCCTCTGTTCCCTGCGCCAGAATTCCAGCCTCAAGTTTATAAGGATAGAGCAACATCAGCAGCAGGAGTATCTCTGTATGAACTCTGCTTCTGACCCTGGTAGCCTTGAGAAACCTGGTGGCATTGAAGCTCAGATTTGGACACTTCAGAGGGTCCTTCTGAGCTTTTAAGTCAATTTCTGATCAGGAAGCAAAAACCTGATCCAAAGCAAACTAAGGATATCTGGCTCTAGCATGTTTGTGTTAACATTCCTATCTGTGCTTGCCGGTCTGAAACTGTTTTCACCTGAGGCAGTTCCTAGAGAAGTGGTAAATGAAAATGACCCCTTTCRATGACCCCTTTTCACTGTTTGGTGCTTGATGAACCTAGTGTCTGTCTGCCTTGTGGGCACTGGGAAGAGACCTTATTCTGTGCTGTCTCCTCACGTGAAAATTGAGTTCACTTGGCTTAATATGAAGAGCAGTGTGAACATAGGTGTTTCCTAATATTCCTCTTGTAGTAATTCCATTTTCTTCACAGCAAGATCTTAGAGATAAGTTTTTGAGCTTTTTTTTTTATAGCTCTCTACTTGGAAATAAATATGGATTGAGAGAGTACAGCGTTTTCCCTAGCTGTCAGGCATAGTACTAGAGAGCTACAGAACACAATYTGGTCACCAGACAGGATGGTTAGACAGTGCGTGCTCTTTGAAGAGCTGACTAGAGCGCCMTGACAAGATTTAGGTTTAACCTTTGATTCAAGTCATATTGGGTGTTGATTTCAATGTCACCACAATCTAGTTAAGCAGTTTAATATCTGTGGGTGCTTTTCCAGCCCATTCTTCACATAAAGCAAAATGCACATATCCTATTTTTATGGAATTTACTGTTTTTATACTCTGCAGGTAAACCTTCCCTGTGGTTATTTACTGTTCCTGACTATTCTAATGCTCTGAAATGCATTTAGCTGACTTATTTTTCAAGGAAGTTCATCCTCTTTATTGGCTGCCATTGTGGGATGATTTGGGAAAGCTTCTTTCCTTGCTGAGCATTCTGACTGCTTTCCTGCATCATATCCAGTGGTTACAGAAACAGCAGGACACATGGATATTGCATAGCCCTTCCCCTTTCTCTTCCTTCCCTCTTGCCAGCATAGAGAGTTCATCTATTCATAAGGCCCTGTCTGATTCTGCCAGGTGAAATGGTTGAGTCAGACTGTAGATGTACTTTCATGCAGAGGGTAAATAAACTATCTTCCAAGGGAGTTCTGCTTCCTTTTCTCTTGTGCTTTGCAGTTATGTCTCAGTACAGAATGACTAATGATTAAGTGAATGAGTCTTTTGCATAGGGTGGGATGATGTAAACAAGAATATTGATTCTGTTTTCTGAAACACAAGCCAGTGCTGTCTCTTTCAAAGTATTTTTTTGCTTAATATATCTAATGCCTGTCAGGTGAATTGATCTACCCAGATGAACTGATCTGCTTGAAGAACTTTTATGATTTCTTGAAGAACTTTTATGATTTCTCAGTAAAATGTTCATAAATCCACGTAAGCTACCCAAAAGGCTGAAATTGAATACAAGGCAGTTGCCAAGACTGTTTCTGCTGTAGTCCTAAGGACAGCTTCTTGGAGTTCCAGGTGTGACCATCAGCAGTTGACAGAACACCTTCCTTTTGATGAGAAAGAGTTGTTTCTTAGGAAGGTTTAGTCCTCCAGGCTGTTGGGTCTGATTTTAGCTTTTAAAATCTATTCCAATGCAAAAGACAAGGTGCCTTTTTCTCTTTTTTTTGTAAACCGTTTCCTATCTACCTACTACTCATTTTTGTCATCTTCTCCACTTTGCTTTCTTCACTTTGCTTTTCTCCCTGCTTTTTTTTTTTTTTTTTTTTTTTTTTTTTGTCAGCATCTTTGTATTTGCCTGAGTAATTGCCTGAGATAACAGGAACTGCAAAGGAAGGCAATAATTTTCTGACGTTGGCAGTGGTTCTCTTGTAGTTTGACCCTCTGCCTCAAGACAAGGCTACTAAATGTGTGTCTGGGAAATGTGAACACAGTTTCTGTCTCCAGCCCTCGTCTCTAATCCTTTACTCTGCCTATGTAGTCAAGTTTCCTTATGTTATGTAATGTGTTGCCTAATGTTTAACTGGGATACGTTGTTCCAGGGATTGCTCCATTTGTTCTTTTAACTTGATGCTGTCCCACTGCCGTTCCCTTTTCAAGGACCTTTCATATGAGARCCTACTAGAACAGGAGGTGAAGACTCGAATGGACCTTCTGCTTCTCTCCTTTGAAGTCCATGAWCATTTCTATGGACTTGAAAGAAACTAAGGAATATAACACAAATAAAGGAGGAAGGGGATGACTGTCATAATAATAATAATAAAAAAAATCCTCTGGTGCTTGTGAATATATGCTATTGTATATACAGAGAGTACCTCATAGAGTAAAGCTTCAGGTGGTGGAAAATCAATTTAAGTGATTGTAGGTAATTTTAAAATTACCTAAAATTCTGACTGTTGATTAGAAATATTTAATGTGGCTAGCTGTATAAATTTGTGACAGACGTCAAAATGTGTTTGGACTTTATGAGGATGTACTGTCATTTCAAGCATTCAAGTGATACCTTTTTTTGTCTTTATTTTTAACAGCAGTGAGCAGTCCACCAAGGCCAAAACTCAAAAGGAATTGTTGAAAACGTTACAGGAGCTGAAAGCTCACCTTCCTTCTGAGAAGAGAATCAAAGGCAAATCTAGTGTCCTAACCACATTGAAATATGCCCTTAAAAGCATTAAACAAGTTAAAGGTAATCAAGTATGATGCCGCTTAGATAACGCCAAACTCGATAAAAGTAAAAATAAATAGGAATTGGAATGTCATTGTCTGTTTAAACTTCAGTTTATTATGCTTGAAAAGCTCTCTATAAAGAAATATTGTTCTGGTTTTCCTTTTTGTTGAGTCTGTTAACTTGGGTTCCTTGGGAAGCTGGAGAAAATTTCTGTGTACTTGATCTTTTACCAAAGTTTTTGTTTAATTAGAAAATTCATTTACCAAAATAAGTAAATTAATCTCTAAACTATCATATAGACCAAAATATATTGTAATGCACAAGAATACTTAATAGGTTGTAYGGAGAATGTTCGGTTGCAATGGAGGGATGTTACATTTATATGGATYATTGAGGAAACTATACTGAGGGGAAAAAAACCTAATGGGGAGCAGTATCTAGATTTTGCAGCAGTCCATCCTGTCCTTGCTCCCTGTCCCCYGCAATAGTCCATTTAACTGTTTCCAGGTTGTTTGCGGGTGAGATTTTGAATTCGGATTATAAGTAAATTGTTTCATGTTCTCATGTAGCCAATGAGGAGTATTACCAGTTGCTGATGATTAACGAAAGCCAGCCTTCGGGGCTCAATGTGTCGTCATACACGGTGGAAGAAGTTGAGAATATAACCTCAGAATACATCATGAAGAATGCGGTGAGTGTGCGTGCCAGACAAGTCTGCAGTGACTCCATAAAACCTTCTCCGTATTTCTCGGGCGTGATTTCTTTTTGCAAGGTAGGAGTTGGACCCTCGTCCAATAAGCTGAAGAAATGGTAGGAATTGGACCCTAGCCCAATAAGCTGAAGAAACTGGTTTCTGAAACTTGGAGCCTTGTTGAACTTGGATAGGAGCGGTTAAATCTACCCTCCTGATCCTARATTTTTCCCTGGTACTTTGATGGGAAACGAAGTAGCCTAAGCTTGTTGATCCTCTGAATTCTGCCTGGTGCTTAAAGGCAGTGTGTGATGTCAACATGTCAACGCTGTCATGATAAAATGCTCTGAGAGAGATTGTTGTCTTTGATTTCTTCCTCATCTTCTAAAGATGGAGAGAAACTCTTTTCAATGCTCCGTCAAGGCACATTTTGAATCAACTTAGCTTATCCTTATGACTAGACATTATTCTAGTAGATTGAAATTACTCCAGCTTGTGTTAATATAACTGAAAAATATCAAAGCATTTGTGCTGTTATAGATTGGGGTCATCTGTGCTGTTTGTCTGGTTCTTGCAGCTGATAGAAGATCCTTGTATGATCCGGTGATAGTGTCTTCTAGATGAGAACAGCTATAATGACCAATGTGAACTTAACAGTAAAATGATAGCCTGAGGTTTCACCCTCCCACTTTTTTATGGATCCATCAAGAATGGTTTTATCTAGACTTATGAGACTACCTTCCACTATATATATATAATATATATATATAAATTATATATATTTTTGAGGTATGAGTATGAGGTTCTGAAATGAGTAAAATAATGGAATAATGGTGGGATTTTGTAAATATAGGAGAAAAATAAAAATAAAACAAAAAAACCCCCCTAAGCCTACTTTAAGCTCTCAGCAATAAAGCTCCTGCCTGCAAGGTAAAATAAGCAGGAAATCTACTAGCCAAGTAAAAATGTTGTTCCCCGCATCTAAAACACTTGAGTTTATGACGTATTTAAGTCATATAAGACTGTAATGCCCGATGTTATGACACATTTAAGTCTACTTGCCAGGAAGGAGGAACAGCATAAAACGATCCAAGTGGAACACGTGCATGGTTGTGGTGGGCCCTTTTTTCCACTTACCTGGTGATTATTTTACCAAGTCGCTGTTTAGATCATCTTGGTTTAGCTCTGCGTTAGCAAGCTAGTCTAGGCAATCTTCCACAAAACAGATGAATTTGTGAATACAAAGTGTGCCTGTAACACACGTCTTAGTTTGGACATGTACTAATTTTCACGTGCAGATTAATGTTACTTTTATTTGTCTCTAAAGAGAATTTTGCCTTCAAACRTGCTAATTTTACCTTTTATTTTGAACTTGGGAATACTTCTGAGTATATTTTCTTCCCTAAACAGTATGCATTGAATTAAGGATATTTTAAACTGTCGAAATAACTTGAAATTTTTGTGTTTAGGATATGTTTGCTGTAGCTGTTTCCTTGATTACTGGGAAAATCTTGTATATCTCTGATCAAGCTGCTTCTATTCTCCGCTGTAAGAGAGGTTACTTTAAAAACGCCAAATTTGTGGAGTTCTTGGCACCTCAGGACGTCAGTGTGTTCTATACTTCCACTACCCCGTACAGGTTGCCATCGTGGAATATTTGCAATAGAGCTGGTGAGTGGTTTCAAAATCAGATAATTATCTTTATTTCACATGTAAATATTTAAACTATGGCAAGGGATGGGGGTGAGTTGGATTTCTCCTTTCTTTCGTGTAATCAAGTGACCATAGATCTTTACAGCTTCATTCCTTGAAATATAAGGGAGATAATATTCAATGTTCTATTAATTATATTCAAATTAYAATTATAACTTGGATGTAGGACACTTGATTCCAATGAAGAAATATATATTTAACACTAGAGCGTATTAAACAAATTGTATCTCTGTTAGAAAAAAATGMTGTTAAGCATCAGTGGTGAAATATCAACAGGCATTTTTGGGCACTTTGTATCTGTTTGAGGGATTTTTTTTTTTTTAGCATAGTTGCAGCTTTTAGGAACTGAAAAAAACATCTGCCAATTATTTTTAAGCAAATATTAAGATACAAGGTCTGCTATACATGTTTGAAATTCTCATCCTCTGTATAGCAAGTCTGTAAAGTTAAGGTAGAGTGTGGGTCTTGTTTAAGTTGGGAAAACTACTAACAAAAATATGTATCAAATGTTTCTAATATTAAATAGCCTTAGAATCATGTAGGCTAGCAGACAGAGATCTCTAGTCCATCCTCTGCCATCCTCTTTGATGCTGAATTCAGACCATATGGTCCCAATTAGTCATTTCTTGTGGATGCTGTTTGATTACATATATTTTTCGGAAACAAATATTTGTTACATTTATGCATAACTTGAAATTTCAAAAATGCAGTTGGCAAACTGGAGTTTCCCATCCCATATATTGGCTAAAATGAATGTAATACTTAGGAGTATTAACACACTTGGGCCCTTTGGACCTGTAAAAGACTGGAGATTGCCTTGAAAAGCAGTCAGTGAAATCTATGAAGTCCCTCTTTGAAAAGAAGGGAAAGGAGTTTAAAAGATGGGGAAGCCTTCATGAAAAAGTGCTACTTGGGTTAAGTGAATTAGATCTAGTTGTCTTAGTGCCCCTATAGGAAAGAGTTATGGTTCTTGGATAATTTAATACTTTAAATCAACACTGTAATTTATAGCAGGAAATCTAAAGGGTAAACAGCTCAAGCTAGAGCACTGTCTAGGAATGTTTTTGGCAGAAGGCTTAATAAGCAGCTGTGATTCTCACGCTAAGCTTCGCTACCCACCTGGTATTCAAGTTGAATTTCCTATAAAGTAAATCTTTTAGCAAATCCTTGACTGCAAAATCTACGTGTATAGAGGAATTCTTTCTCTAAGTTGCCTTTTAAGAGGGAAGGCTTTCGGGAACATGAAAGATTTTAAGGAAACCTGTCTTTGTTGTTGTTGTTGTTCTAATGAAGACCAAGTGTTTTAAACATGATTATCTTCTACTAATTTTGTAACTTGTTATGAAATATTTAATATTTCCAGAGTCTTCCACCCAGGACTGCATGGAAGAGAAATCTTTCTTCTGTCGCATCAGGTAAGATCACAGTATTGTGTTGAGTCTTCATGTTATGTTATGAAACTGTTCAATACACAAGTATTTGACTGGGTAAGTTTTATACTTTTCTATCCTCTGAATAAAAGATGGAATGTATGTCGTTCTCTGTAGTTGTTTGACTTGTAGRCACTGCAGAGACCTGCAGGACACTTTCAGGAAGCTGCCTCAGAAATTAATCAGGCTAAACGTTGACCTTTGCACAATAAATGAGACTGATAGAGTCTCTGCTATGGCTGGGGAAGTCTTCAGTCCATGTTAATTGTACTGCTCTGTTCAGCAGCTCATGCARTTTCTTTCATTCTGCAAGACTAAGAGCAAATCTCGATGTTTATCTCAAGTGTTCAGTTAAGAAATGTATTTGAGGGTAACTTGATTTGTGTTTTCCCCAGTCACAAGGTATTGCTGTTCTGTTTTCATTTTTCTTCCTCYTCTTCCTGCCATCCCTCCCTTAAATTCTTGTATTTAGGAGCTGCTGGCAATTTATTCTTTGTTTTGCTTTTCTTTTACRCTTGAATTTTTTACAGCCCCTTGCCACTCCAGTACCAATTTTAGAAAGGAGAAGTTGTGGCTCTTAATTCTGTAGTAAATAAATACCATTAAGGTCTGAGTATATTTTAAAGGAATTTTGAGAGTGCCAGAGAACTGGGTTGAATGAATGCACTGTAAAAGTACTGCAGGTGTTGGTGTTTACTAAAGCAAAAAACATCTACATGGGTTGCAAAACCTGTGCTTGTGTATGGGTTGCAAAAGCTGTGCTTGTGTAAAACTCACTACACGTGAATTTTTTTTTCTGGTACCTGTTTTAATGACTGATATTTTCATTACTATAATTCAGATTTATATCAAGTAGGCAACTATTTTAATATGTATGAACTTTTAAGTCTTTATTCTTTTTAGTTTGGAATAAATATTGAGTTAAGGTTCTTATTTACTGAGGGATATAGTAGTTTTGTAAAGTATAACTAAGTTAATGGCTGCTTCTGTGAGTGAGGATTGATATGAAAGTAGGATTACAGGATTACAGTAAAGCATATGTTAGTTTATTATGGTGGTKGTTTTCTTTTTCCTGTCTTTCATAAAATGTGGCATTTAAAGCATATGTGGATATTTGTCCTTTCTGCTGTCCAAAATAAAACATGATCTCTATTGCAGATGATATGCCAATGCCATAGGAATTAGATCCTACTTTACAGACAAGAATTCAGAAAACCAAATTCTTGGTCACTTCTTTTTTTGGAGCCATTGTTCAGTCTCATCATTTACAATAGTTTCATTTTATGCTAAACGAAATCTTGATGTATCTGTTGAAATAATAAATCAATCTGTTTAATAGTGCAGGGAAGGAGCGTGAGAATGAGATTTGCTATCACCCGTTTCGGATGACTCCTTACCTCATCAAAGTGCAAGATCCAGAAATAGCAGAAGACCAGCTTTGCTGTGTGCTGCTGGCAGAAAAAGTGCACTCTGGTTATGAAGGTAAGTTCTTGAGCATACAAAGACGAGTTCCATTTCATGAAAATAACTACTTTGCAGGAATTTACAGGAGCACAGCTTAATTTCAGCCCAAGGTATCTGGCTGTGTGTTGTCACTGATCTTAAATGCTACAAATGGCAAAGTTAATGCTGCTCTCTGTCCWTGCTGAGAGGCTTGGAGCTAGAAAGCTGCATTTGTATATGCTTTTTGACAGACAGATTTTGAGATTATACTCACCATTTAATTGAGGCATGTGCCTTAAATAATTATCTTTATGCAAAAGTTACTTACTAGTCTATTTTTATTTTTCTCTCAGCACCCAGAATTCCCCCAGACAAAAGAATCTTTACAACTACACATACACCGACCTGTTTGTTTCAAGATGTAGATGAAAGGTAAGAAGTTACTAGAAATACTATTTCCTAATTTACTGATGAAGGTATCAAGTGTCTTGTGCAGGGTTTAGTTATGATCCGGGTGCCCAAAAATTTCTGCTGTTTGTGAAGAGAATTTAACACAAAAAAACTCTCCTTCCAGTTTTCACTAAGCATGAAAGCATGTTGTGCTGTGGTCTTTATGTGGAAAACTGTTTGCCTTTTAAAAACTTGTTTTTCAGTTTTCCTTCCGTCTGGAGTAACTTCAGGTATAATTTCCATGAATGAGAYCCACTGACAGGAAAATTCCTATGTCAACCAACTTATTTCAAGTTTGTCCTAGCTATTAGCAAACAATAAGCTGCTGTCATTTTTCTACTGCCTGCCCAGATACAGCCAGAGATGTGGGAATGTTTGTTTATTTTACTGCAACATTAATTTCATTTGAAAATGTGTTTTCTGTGTTCTGAGTTGAAACTGCGGTCTTCATAGTTTTAGTTGATGTCATATCCACAAATGGGGCGGAGAGGGTCCAGAACATAAGTATCATTTCAGTGTGTGTTTCTTTGCTTCTTTTGCTGTGTTTGAACAAGAATTGTAAGAAATAGCTGTTRGAGATTGCACTGGAAGAGTACAGCACAATGGCTGGTCAGTGCGAGCAAATGTCAGCGTTCAAGTGAACGTGTACAGCTATTTTTGTCGGACTTGTACAGCGTTGTGATTTARTGTGGAGACTTTGTGCAGAGAAGACTGTGTAGTGCTGACAGGTTTTTTCTCCTTGATTTATATAGTTTATTTCTACAGTTAAAGCTATGTTGACAGAAGAGCTGTGTCGTCAATGCAGTTCTGTCCTTTTGATGGATCTTTCTTCTTTCTTTTCTTCCTTCCCACACATGCTGCACGCCAACCTTAAAACTTTGCAGCATGGCTTTGCTTTTTGAAAATGGCTAATGGCACAAGGCAAATTTGTCTTTGCACACCGTGAGCTCGGGGACTTCTTTCCAGTAGTTATTTAAAGTTTTGCTAAAGGGGAGCATTGCCTTTATTCTTGAGCTTGCGTGGACTGAGCACARTAAATTTTTGACTGTTGCTGTGGGAGTATCTCACACGTTAGTCTGGTCTCAGTGCTTAGTCTCAAATGTCTTCACACAGTCACCATCAGAGAGGGTCTGTGACACCTTAGCCTGATGTGAGGACTTTGCTTTCTGTCTTTTCAACCTGTGCAGTTGATTTTTGTTTTTAGCTAATTAATTCCTGGTAGTGTCCAGATAGCCATTTACAAAGATATGTATATGGCGCTGCTTATTATTATTATTATTATTAAGCTATATTACTACTACTATAAATTTTYTGAGAAAGCTGAGCCTAGAATTTGAAAATATACAGTGGAAGATCTGCTGTCAAGTGTCAATTAATAATGTAATGCTGAAACTGCTGTTAGACTTGCCTTAAAAAAAATTCATGCTGTGCGTCTGCAAAGTGCTTATTGGTCCTACTACTGGAAGTGGGTCTTTGCATTCAACAGTCTCAGTAAAAGTAAATACATTTTAAGGAAAATATCCTTAGTATCCTTAGAATTTATTTGATATTGGTGGCTATGACATCTTTGAGTAAGGAATTGTGTATTGATCGCAGCAGAGTAGTCTTAATGGAGGAAATCAAAGTAGTTTCTTGGCATTTTAATTTGCAATAAGAGCATAAGGAGATTCCTTATTGCATGCTGTTTTGACACTTTAAGTGACATTTTGTCAAACACAAAACAAACTTGTTGCCTCACCTCATCAGCCATTCTCTTGCCATATGTGCACTTGCATTCATGAAACAAATTTATTACTTCAGCTCTGAATTATTCTTCAAGTTACTYATCATGAGGAAGCATAATGAAGAGCTATTGCTTCTAGTAGATAATAAATTATGTGTTCTCAAATAGACTGTTTTATGATCACAGAAGTGCTGGTTGGAAAGGACAGCTGGCAGCCTCTGTTGCAATCTCTTTAAGTGTATCTGTGGTCCAGGTTTTGTAAGGTCAGCTGGACGTGGTCCGGAAATCTTTGTGGACAGAGATGAGCACAAGTGGGTGCTTCCTGTAAAGCAGGAAGCAAAGGAAAAGAACAGTGCAAAACAAAAAGAAGGGGRGAAAAAAAGTTCAAGAAGTTAAGGATATTTATATTTTCGGCCTGCTTTCTGTTAGGATTACTGCAAAGCTGCAAGAAGTGGGAGGGAAAAAAAGGGCTTTTTTATGTGGAATGTGAACAYGTTTATGGGCAGCATTTTTAAATGTGCTTCAAGATTGTGTGATTTGGTGCAATTTAATACTTGGTCAAAATATATTTTTGGAGGTTAGCTTTCAGGGTAAGATGCCAACTGACATCTATGATTGCTCATTCCCTTTCTTTATGCTTYTTGTGTTCTTAAGGTTGGATGATATAATTAGTCAATAAAAGCAGTTTCATTACGTAAGTTCACACGGTTAGATGATGTAACTGGTCACGTGTAGGAAACCAGCAGCATGACTTCATTCTCTGAGTATTTTAGTTAATGACTTTCTTTTCCTGCAGCGCCTTTATGAGAAACTCCTAACRTGCCCATGAATTTTCTTGAGCCTTAGCCACCTACACTGTTGGTTCTGCTATAGTAATCCTGTGTGATCCTCACCGCTGGCTTGCAGCCCATACGCTGGGGATACTGCTTACTTTCATGAGAATTTTATAAGCTTAAACTTTACTAATGCTCTTTGGAAATTAGGGTAAGCATCCTCCAGAGCAGGGCAGTGTAGAAAAGGCTGGAGAAACTCCGCAACAAACTCCTTGGCTTGGCCTGAACATGTTGTTTGAAAAGGTTACGAAGAAGAGCCATGTTCAAAGATGATTTCTGCTATGAATCCAGCACTGTTTTGCCCACTGTGTTGTATTCCACATTTTTCTTTGCTAATAAACAAAGAAAAAAGGAGCAAAGAAGATTGAAATGGAGATCTCTTTAAAAGATAAATGTGCGCGTAATATATATATATATGTGTGTGTGTGTGTATATATGTGTATCTCGTTGTTTGTTTGTTTTAATCTCTGCAGAGCGGTACCTCTGTTGGGATACCTACCTCAGGACTTAATAGGAACGCCAGTCTTAGTGCATCTTCACCCAAATGACAGACCCTTAATGCTGGCAATTCACAAAAAAAGTAAGTAATTTTTTATTGTCGTAAGTATTGTTTGTTTCTGAGAATTAATAGTGTTGATTGAAAACGTTTTGTGGKGTAGAGGTAGTATTTAGCACTGAGCCTGATTCTTCTGGCAAGTAAAGAAACTCTGAAACACTCCTTACCTCTCCAGCTTGTTCCTTATTGCAAACTCTGGAAAACGAAAAATAATTCCATTTCATATTTGATATGAAGCATAAATGTCTGATATAAATGAAGTAGTGTCATACTTAAGAGAACTGTCCTGAGAATGTAATGATAGAYGTTATCTCAATGGTAGTTTTTCTAGGCTCATAAGTAGTATGAGAGAGAAAATACGAGCCATAATGGCAAAATTAACTTCTAAACCTGTGTCTTCAGTCATCTTGCATTAGCTTGCTGTGTTGTGGTGTTAATTTTCCTGATATAATCTAGGATATTATGAAGGTCTCTTCAACCTGCTTAAATGTCACTGTAAAATCATAAACTGTGTTTTTGGGGGGGCAGATACTAAACTGCTTTCTTTTAATCACTTATTACAGTACTTCAGTATGGAGGACAACCTTTTGACTATTCACCAATTAGATTTTGCACTAGAAATGGAGATTATATAACTATGGACACTAGCTGGTCCAGCTTCATCAATCCTTGGAGTCGAAAAGTTTCATTTATCATTGGAAGACACAAAGTTAGGACGTAAGTCTATAAATTACGAGAATTCTCTGTCTTCTTCCCTAAGCTTATCTGATAGTCCTTAACAAAGAGTTGAAAGAGGTTTATTGGAAGAAATCACAAATTTGGATTGCTTCCTCTTATGTTTGGGTTGGGTTTGGTGATTGCAAGTGCTAACTGCTTTAACAAAAAACTGGAAGTACTGCAAGTTTTGACAATATTGTCAAGAATCGCTTCAGAACAGAAGCGATGCTCAAAGTGAACAAGGATATTACATCTGGCCAGACTCAAACTTTCCCAGTTTGCAGCAGAGTAAGAATGAAGTTGTATTTATTTACAATGTATTGATAATAAACTGAAATTGGGATTTTTCTGAGATTGAAGTACATGCTTTTGTAACTGGTGGGAATATGTTTGGTTGATGCAGGGGTCCTTTAAATGAAGATGTCTTTGCTGCTCCCAACTATACAGAGGATAGAATCCTTCATCCCAGCGTTCAGGAAATCACCGAGCAAATATATCGGCTATTACTGCAGGTACAGAACGTATTTTCATATATCGAATCCTCCACTGAAGGAAGGGCGTTCATCTTTAGGTACCATTTTAAAAAAATCTATCACTCTACTAGGTTTAAAAAAAAAAAAAAAAAAAAAATCTACCACTGTGCTGGGATTCAGAGTTGCATTCCTGGAAATAATTCACTCTCCTCGTTATTAGACATGATTTATCTTAAAGCTGATTTTGGTGTTTTAAGTAATTTTTATGCATCTATGAAGACTAGCAAAAAAAAAAAAAAGAAAAAAGCTTATGTTGCCTTATTGGCAATTTCCTTAATTGAATTTAATTTGGAGCTGATATGCAAAAGGGTGTGTTTGTATGTATACTTGTGCATGTACATAATGTGTAATATATGTTGTTGCTGTTAACAGCCCGTGCACAACAGTGGATCCAGTGGCTATGGGAGTCTGGGTAGCAATGGCTCACACGAGCACTTAATGAGTGTGGCATCCTCCAGTGACAGCACAGGAAATAACAACGAAGATGCTCATAAGGATAAACCAGTAGGTGTTTCGGTTTCTTATGCAAGTATTTGGTGCACAAAACAAAATAATAAAAGCTTTTAAAATTGTTTCATTTTTTTTTTGCAGTTCAACGTAATGTAAAATTTAGCATTGCTGTAGGTGAGGCYATCCCTACACTTGGTTGACAGCAAGATGCAACTTTTTCTTTAATTACATAGTTGAAGTAAACGAGAGAGAGAGAGTGGTGTRAATGCAGCTAAAGAAATTGCACTGTCTTTTAACATCTCTGCTCTTGGAATTCCAGTTGTTTTTCCCAGCTTTTGTTGTAGCTGTGTAGAGTTGAGTTTTATTTCTGAAAGACAGTGTTTTCCTCTACTTTTTCCTAAGGAAAGGAATGTGAGCTATGTTAGAGCCCATAGGTAAAACTCCCAAACCTAAGCTCTGCTTTTGTGACCAGGCATGGCAGACAGGCCCACTTGCCCAGGTAGTTGCTTTTCTGCTTTGAGTCCTCAAACACGAGTGGCTCAGGTAGATGAAGTCTCTGGGTGTTTTGTTTAATGGATATTTGATTATATTTTAGAGTTATATAGGCAAGTAAGGCTCAAGGAGGTCTTGTTTTTGAGAGAGATAGGCACCAGCCTTTATTCCTTCACTATATCTACAGATAATGGAGACTGTTGCAGTAAAGCCTAGTTGAACAGCATCCTGTCAAGGCTTGTTTAAGCTTTCAGCAGGAAAAGTTTAAATTTCTCCTATTTCTAGTTCCCAGTATTCTACTGATACACGATAAAACTCTCTGTGAGGACTGCCATGGTCAGAGTAACTTTTACACAGACATTAGCTAACACTGGGCAGAGCTTACTAAGAAGTCAATATGCCTGACTTCTTAGGTCAGATTTTCCTAATAATTGTTCATGTTGGCCTTTTTTCAGGAGACTTCTCAAGGGGCCCGTAAGGTCAAAAGTAAAGGACAACATATCTTCACTGACAGTAAAGCAAAACTGGAACAGAAGAGAGAGCCTTTTGCAGGTAAGGCATTAATATTGGCTTAAGATATCTTGCTTTAATGAGCTTAACTTTTGATCTGTTAAATCAGCTACTTTTAAACATCTTTTTTTTGTTGTTTTTGTTTTGTTTTACTGTTGCTTTTAGGGTTTTGCAAGGATTAATGCATAATAACAATATATTTTCTTTCTTTTCTTTCCTMTTTTTTAGCAGAGAAACAAAGCAGTCCRGGAGGTCATGTTAAAGATGTGACAGGAAAGGATGCTACAGTCACAGCTGCTCCTAAAAGTGTGGGTACTGAGGAGCTAGCTTGGAAGGAACAGCCTGTATATTCTTATCAACAGATTAGCTGTTTGGACAGTGTGATCAGGTAAGCAACCAGTATATAAACTGCTCTTGACCTCTGGACTGAAGAGATATCATTAGATACTGCATATCTAATATTGCTACCTCTTCGTATTTTAGGTATTTGGAGAGTTGTAACGTGCCTGGTACCTCAAAGAGAAAATGTGAACCTTCGTCGAATGTTGCATCACTGAGTGCTGGTGTTCATGAACCGAAAACAGCTGACAATGCTATACAGCCTTTGGGAGGTCTGTCTCTGCTACTCGTTTTTATTTTTTTTATTTTGATCTGTTCRGCTGCATGATACAATATGCAAGAATTGCAGGAATTGTCCAAAATCAAAACACTCAATAGATGTGATAAGTGATTGTTTTACAATATACAAAGACAAACTTGAGATCTCAGAATATAAATTACACCAGGCGTTCCTACCTGAGAGGAAGAAATGCTTGGATGCTATTCTGTGAGGCACTAGCGTGGCTCCTGCTTGTATTACTATGGCCTTCAAATGAATAGGCCTAAATAGACAGATGCTCAGCACAAAGCTGTTGGGATAACCACTTAATGAGATTAATGTACAACAAGCTTGGAGCTAGGAGGCCTTATGCTTAGGGTATAGAAATTTTTTTCCAAAATTGTGCCATCAAAGGAGAAGAAAGCTCACAAAAGGGCCAGGAGTTTTTAAAACATCTGCTTTGGCTGTGTGTGAGATGGCAGGAAMAGCCATGGTGGCCCAGGAATTTTGTTCCTAATATGTTTTTGGTCAAATGCACAAAGTCAAGTAAAAAGTTTGCTTCCTGTCTTGCCAAGAACAGTTTAGCCTCTCCAGTTTTGCAATCCTCGCAACATATTCCTTTAATTTGCTCATGTTTACATTCAGTAGATTATAATCTGTTATAATCTTTTTTATTATTATTTTTATTTTTATAGACCCTGCTGTGTTGAAGGCATCTGATAAATCAAGTGCCCCGCCAGTAGTTGGTGCTCACTTAACCTCTCTGGCTTTGCCTGGCAAACCAGAAAGTGTGGTATCTCTCACCAGTCAGTGCAGCTACAGTAGCACCATTGTTCATGTTGGAGACAAAAAGCCACAGCCTGAATTAGGTATGCTTTTTGCTAATGACCACCTTCTCCAAAATGGTAATTGCTACTAGTTTGCAGCTTCAACTGTTCAAACAACTAGTACCTGTTGGTGATGTACATTTTCTTATAGCTATAACCTCCCTATGGAGATGAAACAGAGAGGGAGGGAATTTCTATTCTAAATTTACAGCAGAATTGCTATGGAATTTCAATGGTTTCAAAAGGCATATAGCAGTTTTAAACTTAGATTGTGTATTTTCTCTCCCTGTTTCTGTTTAGAAATGATAGAAGATGGTCCTGGTGGAGCAGAACTCCTGGATGGCCAACTTCTTGCCCCTCCATCCAGCTCTGTGCATGTAAACCAGGAAAAGGAGTCATTTAAAAAACTAGGACTTACTAAGGAAGTCCTTGCAGTGCATACACAAAAAGAAGAGCAGAGCTTTTTGAATAAGTTTAAAGAAATCAAGAAGTTCAATATTTTTCAGTCCCACTGCAATTACTACTTACAAGATAAACCCAAAGGACGTCCTACAGAACGTGGTATGGAAGTAGCTTTCGTGATTAAACTTGTCTTTACAAAGGAAGGGAATCCTGTTAGGATGGTAGTTGCGTTTGTATTTGTATTGCAGGGTGTTTGTGTATAGTGCCACTTGCATTCTATTTTTAAATTCCCAGCAAAACTTTTTAATGGCAGCCTTGCTTTGGGGTGGAAGACAGCTGTTAACTTAATAACCTGTTTTCATTTGGTTGAAGTGATTGCTCCAACAAATCCACTATGAAAGGGTAAAAAAAAAAATATATATATATATATATATATAAAAAATATATAACATTATATAATCTTCAGCTTGTCCTGGCCTTTCCTTTGTTTTCTTTTCCTTCTGCTTTTCCCTTTGTGGGACTCTCTGAACAGCTCCTTAGGGGAAAACTGTATGTAAATCAGTTTGACTGCTAACTATCATCACTGATAATAGGTTAGATACCATTAGGTCTGGCAGGTTGGCCAGAGTGTGGCCAGTGAAGGCTGGGAACAGAGCAGATTGCCTTGAAGGAGAGAGATCATCTTGTTTGTTAGAGCCAGGAGCTCACAACAGCACTTTCAGAAGTGCTTAGTAGGGTCCTGACCCTGGAGCAGAAGTTGGCCAGTGCTAACCCCTTTCTGCAGGCCTTCAGTTTGCGTTCTTTGTTTCAATAGTTTAGCAGGTGTAAAGAAACCTGTTCTGCAGTCGTTTACTCCTAATGCATTAATCCTTGATAAATTTCATGTCCACATAAAAACTTGAACAATTTTGAATTCTTTTAATGGTTTTCTTYATGTCTGTAAGGAGGCAGACTGATGGTGTTCACCTAGGAAGAGAGTCACTTGATGCAGACTTTTCCTAAAACAAAGTTCCATTCTTTTTCTGCCAGACTTTGTGTAGACAGTATGCTTCATTCCCACAGAAAATTGTCTCTTATGTCCATTTCCTCTCTTTTCCCTCTGGTTGATTATCACCTTTTAAGTAAGGACCAGTATGACTGGAACTCCCCAGAAGTGCTTTCAGTCATGTCCAGTACTGCTTTCTTGGTAGCTGCAGGAGGAATTTGCCTGTCTGGGAGCTGCCCTTTGCAACGATGTGTTTGTTGGCAGCACACATTTGAGCTTTAACTGTTTCACTGTTTATAACTGTTTCAAGTTGTGAGCATCTTCTAGAGATGAGCAAGTGAAAGGGAGCCTTCATAGTGCAAGTAGGATTCTTCCTTTATTTCTTTTTTTCCACCCTAGGTGGCCGTGGACAAAGAAATGGTGCTTCCGGGGTGGATCAGCCTTGGAAGAAAAGCGGCAAAAACAGGAAATCAAAACGCATTAAACCACAGGAATCTTCAGACAGTACAACCTCTGGAACCAAGTTCCCCCATCGCTTCCCTCTCCAGGGCTTAAACACCACAGCTTGGTCACCCTCCGACACTTCACAGACGAGCTATTCGGCCATGTCTTTCCCAACCGTTATGCCTGCGTACCCACTTCCCGTCTTTCCAGCGGCCGGGACTGTGCCGCCGGCTCCTGAGGCTCCTCTCCCTGGTTTTAATCAGCTGCCAGACTCCAGAAACACCTGCCCTATGCAACCATCCCAGTTCTCCGCGCCCCTTATGACGCCCGTCGTAGCTCTTGTGCTCCCCAACTACGTCTACCCGGAGATGAACAGTAACTTACCTCAGACCCTTTACCATAGCCAGCCTGACTTTCCCGCCCATTCCACCTTCTCCTCGCAGACAGTGTTTCCAGCACAGCCCCCATTCACTGCCCCCAACCCTTTCCCCCAACAGGCGTTTTTCCCAACGCAGCCATTCCATTACAACCCACCAGCAGAGARTGAGAAGGCTCCCATCACCGAGCCACGGAACGAGCCCTCCCGTTCCTGCACTCCACAGTCAGTTGGGCCGCACGACCAGGCTTCGCCACCGTTGTTCCAGTCGAGGTGCAGTTCTCCTCTGAACCTTCTGCAGCTGGAAGAAACCACCAAAACGGCCGAAAGCGGAGCTGCCGCGGGCTTGCACGGGGCCTTAAGTGAGGAAGGAGCTATAGGCAAAATCATGACAACTGATGATTGTAGTGGAAAGGGATCTTTACCAGTAAGTATGCTAATGGTGGCTTGTTTATTTGTTTTCAGTAGCTACATCCAGCAGGTCAGGACTAAGTTAATTAATGTATAAAGGTGCCTAGAGATTCCTTGCTCATGTATGAGCTTGCTCATGTAAGTAGATATCAAGTATGTATTAAACAAATCAAAAATTGGTGGCATAAACCKCAGATGCAGTCATATATCTGTAGAGACTTCTATGACACTATTGACATAAATTAATGTTAATGTCATCTTACCATCGGTTRTTTTTATAAATGCTAAGTCTCTGATGGGATAGGGATGTAACCTAAACCTTTAGGAATAGCACCTTTCTCTCTTCTTGCATTGCTATGGCTTAYTACTATAATAATGGTGGTAATATTATAGCTTTTGGTTGCTGCATCTAGTACTGTTGTTTCAAAGTACAGCTGGGCTCGCTGCTCTTGAAAGGAAAGCAGACATAGGAAAGGAGTGTTTTTAATATTAAGCATATCTGGGTCCTCGATTACAGTAAGCTGTTGGTCAAGACTGCAGTTTCTGTCAGTGCTAAAAGTTCGGGAAGACTTTGCTGTCTCCTGATCCATTTAAAAAACAAAACTCATTTCACTTTATAGTTAGTATCTCAAATGTAAGTAGTGATGAAGTAGTCCTGACTTTTTTTTTCTTTATTTCTTTCCCTTCAGCAGGCCGAATCTCCAATGGATGCCCAGAACAGTGATGCGCTCTCCATGTCCAGTGCCCTGCTTGACATTTTGCTCCAAGAAGATGCGTGTTCAGGCACGGGCTCGGCTTCATCGGGCAGTGGTGTATCTGCAGCTGCCGAATCCCTGGGCTCCGGATCCAACGGCTGCGGCATGTCAGGGAGCAGGACAGGTAACAGGGACAGTGAATGTAGTTTCTCYGGCAGCGTTTTGCAAAAGTTGGAGCACAAGATGTTGCAAATAGCACTTGAACGTGAAGTGGTTCTGTATCAGAATCTGTAATTTTCATGGCTTAATTCACTTGAGCTTTTTATTAAATAATGGGAGAGGTTCTTCTTTTTCTAGTGCTTCATCTGCAATATGGAGCTTCTACATTTTTTTGAATGTGTACAGTGTAAAAAATAGATTTTTCTAACCACCTAAAGCAGTATTGATAAAATGAAGTAATATAGGTAAGACAGGATAGCAAAAGATCATACTCATTGAGATACATAGTCATTGATGTTCCATTGCAAACCATTTTAAGTTTAGTTGGTTAAATTCTTCTATGTCATGATTTAATTGGGATTTAACCTTTTGTTTTGTTTTAGGGAATATTAAAACACCTTTTTGTGAGGAAAGTTGCATGTTCTTAGCCAAGTAGTTGCACTTAGACTTTCAGTATTCCTTACTTTTGTTTTAGGAAATAAATCAACAGTCTGTTGTTTGGATTTATAACCAAGTTTTTAAATTATCTTTAAAGGTAGCAGCGAAACTAGTCATACCAGCAAATACTTTGGGAGTATTGACTCCTCAGAAAATCATCATAAAACCAAAATGAAGACAGAAATAGAAGAAAGCGAGCACTTCATTAAGTATGTCCTTCAAGATCCCATATGGCTTTTGATGGCCAACACGGATGATACCGTCATGATGACTTACCAGTTACCTTCTAGGTAATCCCAGCATCGTAGTCCTTCAYGAACTGCTTCTGTGTTGGGTGGGGATGGGAGTAGATATTATGAGTTATTGTTTCAGTGGGAACTTCAAGAGCAAGTGTAYGATAATGCTTAGCTAAGTGCAAAGAAGAATCCTTGCTTCCTTTTATATGCTCTGCATGCCAGGAAGTAAGCTCTGGAAAACTAGATGTCAAGAATTATTTCATCTGATCTCTGCTTCTGCACAGATTAAGAATGTTTAAGATATAAGATTATTAATATTAAGAATATTATTAAGACTAATAAGGGTTCTAATGAAAACGCTCAATAAAAATATTCTTCCTATTTCAATAGTATAGAGGAGTTAAGTGTGAGTATAAGGAAAAGTTAGTATTGGACTATGTAACCTCATGTAGGTATTGAGCCCAGAAATCCTTGTGGCTAAACATGGTAATATATTGTATTTTAGAGATTTGGAAACCGTTTTAAAAGAAGATAAGCAGAAATTAAAGCAAATGCTGAAACTACAGCCAAAATTTACAGAGGAACAAAAAAGAGAGCTTATTGAAGTTCACCCATGGATCCAGCAAGGTGGACTGCCAAAAACAGTAGCTAATTCGGTAAGCTTGAAATCGTTCATGACTTCTTCATTACTGACAGTGCTTAAATTATTAGCTGCTTATGCTAGACCTCTCTGTTTCTGTTGCTATGAAAGTTTGGCCAGTTATGCTGGGCAACGGTTTAATTCATTTTTTTACACAGGGCCTTGTGGCTTGATTTAATTTACAGTTTGTGTTCTTTTCAGTGGAAAAGTCCAAGTAGTAGGATGAGCAAACAGAGGGGAAAAAATACCTCGCTGTYTCTAAAAGCTTGCATAAATATTTGAAATCCTGTATAAGTATATCCAGAAATTTCATCATTTTGTTTATAAATATATATTTCAGTAGCTAAATTTCAGTATTTCCAAAGATCTATGGCATAGTTCCTTCAAAAGACTTCACAATTACCTGTGTAGATTTACTACAAGTTATAAAATTGCTGTGTATGGGAGAAGCTGGAGAAGGTGGAATGTGTCTAGTTTAGTTGCAGCACAGTTGTAAGGGTTGTCTTGGAATAATGCATCACATGGGAATGGACAGGTGACTGGGAAGAACTTTTTTCCTCCTGACTTGTGTATTTTCTTTTTTAAGGAATGTATTTTCTGTGAGGACAACGTACAGAGCAATTTTTATACATCATATGATGAAGAAATCCATGAAATGGACCTTAACGAAATGATAGAAGACAGTGGGGAGAACAACTTGGCTTCCCTGAGTCAAGTCAGTGAAGAACAAACATAGCCTTTGAGCCTCTMGTTTTTAAAGCTGCTTCAAAATTACAGTGATGATCCATAAAGGTTTTAATCTTGTTTCCAGCAAGATGAATCTGGTTCATAAAACAAATGTATTTTTTCTGTTCTAGAAGAGTCATTTGTGAAAGAATCTCTTTTTTAAATGGTGGCAATCTCTTCCCAGTAAGGACATTGTTGAAGATGGTACAACTTTTCTTTTTTTTTTTTTTTAAAAAAAAAAAAAAAGACTAATATTTTGCACTCATGCCTCAAGTATTTCTTTATAAACTGTAGAGGTTTTCATTAATGCCTGCTGTTTTCCGTTGAGTGGGTTAATGAGTACTGAAAATCCCTGTATGTACGTGCGGTTCCACAAATCTCCTTTCAGTAACGATGCAGCATTATAAATTGTTCTAGCAGTTCTGCTTATTGGCTCTTTAGCATTGCTGTTCATGTGTGAAGTGGTCCAGCATAACAGAAGAAATGACCTTCAAGCAAATTAATTGACACTTGTCCATCTCATACTGGTTGATCCCATCGTCTTTGTTTCCTATAGTTTCAACTTTTTAGTCAAAACTAAACGTTGTTTGTTTTATCTTTTTTGTCTAAAATCAAGGTAAAACTTTTTTTAAGAAGGCCTTAGATTAAATTTCTTATCTGAATGTGTGAGAAAGTATAGACAAGTGCTGACAACTTTGTAGCCTTTTATTTAAATGGATGCTGCAGTACTTTGGACTGTTGATTATCTTTGAAGCATCATTTCTGAGAACTTCTCCACACAATATCTTTATGCTTAAAGATTTAAGAACTGAGATGGCAGAGGAGAGGACTGTGTTTGCTCCAACGTCAGATAGACGAAGCTTGATCTAACCTGTCTTTCTGATTTATTCCTTCATGAAGCAGGCCATCAATTTTGGCCAGGAGTTTTCCTGTTTTGCTGAGTAAACATCAAACTTAYGCTTGGCAAGAGAAGATGAAACATTTATTTTGAAGGAAGTTCTTATAAAAAGAAGAGATTTTGAGAGTAACATTCAAATTTCACTGTAATTGAACTGCATAATCTAAAGCTTAGTGTGGGTAGAATCCTTTGCTGTCAAGGATTTAATCTAATGTCTCTGAGATTGTATTGCCATGAATGTGTGTACTTTATGTTCTTGTGCTGTCTGTACGTGTTGGCCATGGGAAGAGAACAAAAATAACTTTATTAATATTGGTTAGGTAAAGGGCATTTAGTTGCAGTACTGCTAGATACCAGCTGTAGGCCTTGGAGAACATATGGAGAAATTCAGTTAACTTTGACGTGTTTGTCTTAAAATTTTTTTTCATGAAATATGTGAGGTTTTTCTTTTTGTTTTTCCTTTTTTTAATTAGGATAACATTTCTATTCACTGAAATCTAAGATCTTAAGTTTTCTCTGCCRATAAAGAAGATAAGAAGTATGATTTGATACCACCAAAAATATGTGCAGAAGTGGCTGGTATTTGCTGCCTGGAAGCAGTAGCAGGTAGAAAATAATTAGTTATTAATTGGACAGAGTCATCCATCAGGAAACTTGCCTTGGAGACAGGTTCTGGAGTTAGCAGAGAGAAGGAACTTGTGAACCCAACAAGAATCACAGCTTAAAGGGTCAGTGTCTGAAGTGTAGTGTGAAACACTGCCCAGCAAGRTCCAGTTCCCGTCTTTCATAGCTTAGCAAGATCAAACTGAAACATATGTAAATATAAAGTGAATGAGAACATTTTAAATGTTGGTGTTTAAGTCCAATGTATTAAATGTCTCAGTCATAAATGRAACAGTGCAACTATGCCAGCATATGACATGATTTTTTTTTTCYTTTTTTTTACATTTAAAAACAAAAGGTTTCAATTGGACCAGGGTTTGGGAAAATAAAGCTTTATATAAAGGAGTGCATCATAATCATACAAATGATTTTCAGGGACTTTTCAACCACTTTGTGAACTACTTTGCTTTAGCATGCTTTTATCCTTGTTCGTTTTTGTTGTTTTTCTGGGATTTTTTGTTTTGGTCTTTTTTTTTCTTTAATGACCATCTTGTAACCATAACTTAGTGAACGGAAGAGAAAAGTATATTTAGAGCATTTTGTGGATGTGCTTACTTAAGAACTTATTCTTGCATCCTTTAAAGTGTTTGCATTTACAGGGTGGTATTAAAATATTTTCCTGTAACTTTAAATCTACATGCCTCCATTTATAGATAAGATTCTGAAGCTGTAATTTTTCCAAACTGTTGTAAGATGACTTATTTGTGACGACACTTTGTCAACATGTCAAAGATGTTTTCTGTACACTGTGCAATATATTTTGGTTTTGCCACTTGTGACTAATTTTTATGACTTTTGCTTTTTAGAAAACTGGTAAATAAAACAGATATATTTTTAGTTGCCTTTCTGTTTATTGAGCTTTTTCCTGCATGCGAGATGCAAAAAGATACATACATTGCAGCTAATGTATGAACAGCTTTTTTTTAACACAGAGGAAGATTTGCAAGCCACAGTTACTTCAGGATAGTAAGCAACAAGGATGTTAAATAAATTTGGCCAACTTCTCTGATTTCTAAGTTTAGTGCTCAGATAGAAGACAATCTCCTTGCTGACCTGTCATATGGAGAGCACATACAAGTTTGATGCCTGGAAGAAGGTATGAAACTGGCTTCTCTGTGTTTGAATGTGGCTTAAAATGTTAGTTGCTGGAAAACACTAGAAGACACATTGWGGTGTTTGTGTGTTTAATGTCAGCTTTGTTACTACAGGAGGCCTCAAAAGAGAAGGCTTTTCTACTCCTGTCTTACAGTTGGGGAGTTGCACTTAGGCTTCCTGAATTTGCCTTTAATGATTATTGATTTCTGAGGTGGGGCAAGACTGCAGACTGCTGAAACGGGTCCAGGGCATGTGCTTTTTTGCCCATTCCCTTGTTTTATATGCTGATGGGTGGAAGAAGCAGGAGGAGAAAGTGCAGAGGTYTGAAGACTTCCGTTTTCTGATTTGAGCACTAGAGTGAATTAGGGGGTGAGGGGTGTAGCTTTAGCCCACCCTGCTTCTCCTCCTCAAGTTTAAGACATTCCGGGATGATTAGCATCTTTTAAGCATGTTTTTTTAGATAATTCTTCTGAATTTCTTTTAGCAGGAGAAAAAAAAAAAAAAAAAAGACCTGCTTTGGTTGTGAGGGGCTGAGTGGTTCTTGTGAGCTGTACAAATTTGAGAGTATTTTGGTACCCCAGTTCCTGTGGAATTTGCGTGCAGGGCGCACGGCTGCAAGGCTGGTTGTGTTTTACAGCAGGCAGGGCCAACACGTTCAACACGTTGAGGGGACAMGTTTCCCGTGTGCCCTCAAAGCAGCGTGAGCAGTTGCCTGGCCGAGGTCTGAAAAGCTTTTGCTTAACTAAGCCTGCAGTGGAGCGATGGATCAATCCAGCTATTCACGTGCAGGGCTCCCAGATTTGCACTGCCATGGGCAGGGCAGCCGAGTGCCTCAGGATAGCAGTAAATTAACAAGTAATGTTTCATACCTGATTTGTAGATGGAATAATTAAACCTCGAAGTCATGGGTTTGGGTTTTCTTTATTTTATTTTGTTTTCTTGGTGCAGTCACTTAAGATTGTGAGGCTTCTTAAATTATAAATATAATTAGAGGCATGTGAGTTAAATGTTGCTTCAGGCATCCATATGATCTTGCTCCGTGGTCTCCCTCGGGCAGCACCGAAGGTCTCGGTGCTTCAGGCTGCTCGAGCAGGGGCCCTCAGAGCTCCTGGCACCTCGGTAGCCCCTAGGCGTCACTGGAGCCCTGCGAGGAGACCCGCTGCTTCCACAGCCTCTGCTCCCAAGCAATTCAGATGCTTATTTTCCCTTGGACTATTGAGTTTGTGGGTGCATTATTTGCTGTGGCTTGATTTTCTAATAAGATGATGAGAAAACTTATATTCAAGACTTAAATGCAAAATAAAAACTTTCTGCTTGGAAAAGGGAAACATTCTGCTGAAAACCAACAGGTTTTAGTCTGTTTACTGCTGTCGAGACTTTGGAGAACAAAGGTTCTGTTTATTCTCCTTATTGTGCCTTCAGTAACAAACTAAGGGCTACTAGAAGAAAAACGCAAGTGTAATTTGATTTTCACTGTTTGCTTGCTCGCAGGTGGCTGAGCTGTGTTAGAGGAGACAGGGCAGCTCCTGCTCCCCGTGCTGTGGAAGAGGACAGTGCTGTGTTGTTGGCCCAGGAGATGAGTAACGTTGTCAGGTGGCCCTCGTGAGTACTGCTTTGTGAAGGGGGAGAGGGGCACTTCTGGTAGGCCTCCAAAGGAGGAATAAAGTATAAAATATCTAGGTATAAATGGAGACAGCTGAGGAGCCCTAACTGTGTGTGTTCCCCCTGCAGGCCCTGAAACGGTGCGAGGAGCCTCCCTGCTGCTGTGTGCCGAAGGAGCRAGTGCGAGGGAGCTCACCGTGCAGTGTCTCTAGATTACACCTAGCCTTTGCAGGCAAAACGAAGCTGCTGACAGCGCGCAAACACCCTGACAAGCCTGGGGAGCAGCGCAAAGTTTGGAAACATGCGTCGTTCCTTCACACAGGACCCATGCGTTGGCCGCAGAACGCCCAGCGGACGAGGTGCGAGTCCGGAGCAGCGGCACGTGTGTCGTGCAATGCGACGTGTGGGACACATCACGGGGCTGGAGAAACCCCACTGGACTCACCGAGGGCAGCGGGTGCCGTGGCACAGCCCGTCAGGTGRGTGGTGCAGTGAGCGTGTTCACTGTTGGGTTGTTACCTTCCTAAGTTCTACTGCTGCCCAAGCAAACACTGGCTATGGCTTTTTCTTYTGTGTATTTGGCATTCTTGAAGTTAACATCTACTGCTTTCTCCTCTGTTGTTACCAGTTGATTCCTTTTAGATTTCCTTTTTTTGTGTTTTGTTTTTCTATAGTGGAAGTGAAACAAAACTGATCATAGAAACCCAGAAAACCAGGGAACACGGTCACAAAAGTGCCAACAATTGTTTGGTTGTGTAAGTTTGGCCACTGCATTTCTCCAGTTGTCTTTAACCTTGGACTCTCTTGGACAGGTGTCTTCCTTCCTCTCCCCACAAAAAACACATTGTGTGTTGTCCCTTCTGCTGCCTGTAGGGCCATGGAAATTGGGCTCTTGCTTCTGTTGGATGCAGGAATGTACAATTGTCCCTACCCACAACATGGTCCCTTTCAGGTAAAAACTGAAGCATCCCCATGGTTTCCTTCTCTGTCTTCTGTGGTAATTCTTAAGGAACCAGTTTGCCTGTATGGTAGGAGGTAAATATGAAGTAAAAGCTTCTTAATTGTCCTTTTAGTGTATAACTATAAAAAAAATATAAGTAGTGAGTGATGTGCGGGGTTGTTGAACTTGCTGATCAATCTAACAGAGCAAGCGAAGCCTGAGAAGCTCCAGTGGGGCTTAGCAGCCTTAGGTGGAGCAGCTGCAGCACTGGGATGTCCACAGCTGCGTGTGGTTATAGAAGTAGTACCAGGTATTYGGGAATGCCCTTGTGGCCATGAAACACATGTGACGCTCGTGTGACCGTAGGAAACAGCAAGTGATGGCAGAAAACACGTGGTGTGCTGCTGCGGTTGGAAATAAAAAGATTGAACTTCATTGGTTCAGCGCTGTGCTCTCAATGCAGTGATGGGGCTGAATTAGGAACGCCCCTTAATGCTTAGCCTCATGGGCAAGGTGCAACTTTACCTTGGTGATGCTCTTACRTTTTATTTTTATCCTCCCTTTTTCTGGTTCCTCACAGTGAGAGAACGTGTTTCAAGCCACCCAGTGCTGCAAGAGCCAAAATAAGAGCCATGTGGTCCGTGTTTTATCCCTGTTCTCCGATTTGGATGAGCCCAGGGAATGGGATGACTCAATCCCACGGAGGCTGGACAAGTCTGACTCGGTTCTTCCTGCTCACCAGGTAAGAGCYGCGTCCGACGCGTGGATCATCAACAGACATTAATCCTCATGTTCTAACGTGGACCATCTGTCTGCGCCTCGCGCTACGCCTGGATGCGTCTCCACAGCTCTTAGTCGTTGCAGTTGCGTTGGGACTTTATAGAGAGTTATTGGAGCATATAGCAATTGGAGCCTATATATTAATTGGGTTTAGTGCTTTTCTTACGCTCGTGTTGTAACTTCTCCCAGCCCCTTCAAATCAGTGTGGATTTTGAGTGTTTACAAAATCAAATGTGACTCGACACGTTTTAGAACATGCTGTGGATCTGCTGCATTTTTAGGTTTGGTGAAAGCAGAGGTTTGTGATTCAAGTGTTCAGTTAGGCTGCAGAGCAACCTTGTACTAAACAATTAAGGGCAGCGAGGCCCTGCTATAGCTGCCCCACAGGGGGGTGTTGCCTCCATGGTCTCCAAATGCGTTTTTTGTTTCTTCAGTAATACTGATTTTTAGGAAACAAAGCAGGGTGATGTTTTTCTCTGGCAGGGACAGAACACGGGTATCTTAGGGTACCAACCAGCAGTGTTGGAGGTGTCTGTGTGAGCTTTACCATCTCTTATAGTGGAATGCAATAGTGAGCTTTTAGAATTGTTTTTCTTCCTTTTTGGACTGGCTGATGTTYAAACTTACCCCAGAAATCTCTGTCAAAATTGCATGACTACAGTAGAGAAACTCCACATAAAATTTAAAAAAATAATAATAATCTTGTGTTTTCTAATTGTGTGTCTAGGAAAGGATGGCTAGCAAGCTACTTGGAGTGGAATCTCCTTAAGCTTTGGATCTAGTTCGGTAGTGTGATTAATACCTTAATACTAATTATCTTGCATAACACATGCTGTAAGTCTCAACTGCAGATAAGTATAAAAGACCTGACTATGACAACACTTAGAAAAAGCCTTGTATGTATCAGTAGTGCCATCTAAAATCCACCTAAAATCTGTTCTGTGCATACTTTGTCACTATGAGCTGGTGTTTAGATCTTAATGTTATAGAACAGATTTGTCTAGAATGTATGGATTGGACAGATTTTCAAGAAAAATCTGTCCTTGGCTAATAAATAAATAAATAACAAGTTTCCATCTGACAGACTATTAGTTAACAAATCGAGGATATCTAATCTACGTCCAATGTTTTATACTTTTCTGAATTTCACAGCAAAACGATACGAAAGTGAAGCGCCCCACGTACTGTAAGTGGTTTTACAGATTAGTCTCGCTGACAATTAGTTGGATGAAGTGATATACGACGGCCTTTGTCACCTAATTTAGTGTTCATGGGCCTGTGAAGTTTATGGTGTCAGCTTTTACTCGTTGCTCTGACAAGGGTGGCTTTACAGGTAGAGCCTTTTTGGATGTATTTGACGGGATCAAAGGGTCCAGATGCTCAGGAAGTTGTTGAACAGCAATGCTGCCCATGCTGCCTGTCGCGGGGACAAATTGAAGTAGTGCAGAGGAAGGTCGGGGTATCTTGGCCAATATAATGTAAATCATCAACGTGTCTGAAGGAGCTGGCAGTAAATCCGAGCCAGGAAACACAGTGTTTTCCTTCCAATGTCCTCCAGGAAGAGTCTATAAACAGAGGTGGTGTTTGTCACCACGTTGATGCATACAGACAGACTCGATTAGTCCACAATTTCYGAAGATTTCTTGAACCTTTCAGCTACAAAAACCCGTGGGCTTTTTTTGAAGTGGTGCCTGCTTGTGCAAGGAGGAAATATTATGGATTTTGCAGGGGTGGAACTGCGCGTGCTATCGGCCTCCTTAGCTCCGTGGGCCTTATCAAGGCCTGGAGCACTTAYGGAATCTGATTGCTCAGCCTCGCTGTGTGCAAATTGCTGCAGGTAAAGGTGCACAGAGTCCCCAGGCCCTGCTCTGTGGCACGAAGACAGGACAGGGACTGAACTTGTGTGGGACGTGACACTAGCTGCCGGGGAAGCATTTGGGTGGCTGTGCTCTGATTTGTGGCTTCCTTGGAAGAATTGGAGGAAGAAGATAATAGCAGTTTGGATAATAGTTYGGAAGTGCACGGCCCCCTCTTTAAAATCACTTAGCAGTAAATCCTTACAAATCAGTTATCTGCAACTAAATGTGGTTTGATTTTTCCTTTAGAAAGGACGTAGCGGTTGATTGTCAAATAGAGGCTTTGGGAAAGRGGTGAAGACGAAGGCCTCTTAGGTCGTGTGGATATTAGAGCTGTTAAGCTCGAGCTGCTAAAATGCAGGCACGAAAGGAAGGCACGGGGTTAAATCTGTGCCTCTGTGGGCCGCAACCATAAAAAATGAGGAAACTGCCAAAATGGGGAAGGCTGCAATTGCCCCATGTCTAGACAAAAAAAAAAAAAAAAAAAANAAAAAGATGAGGGGGAGAGAAGAAGCTTTTGGCAAAGGAAGCCTCGGTTGCAGAAGGAGCCCCACAAGGTGACTCGCTCGGGATCTAGGGCTAAATGCAATTTCCAGATACTGGAGCTGTCAGCATCTGAACTCTGAGGTAACATAGGAAGCTAAGCTGAGTCAAAATAATTGCTGCAGACCCTGCAGATGGATGGGGCTCGGAAACCTGAAACCAAGCAGCTACCTGCCGGTTGAATCCATCTCTAATTGTACTTAGAGCAACATGTAAAACACTTTTGTTTAAAGAGCTTCCTACTACATCAGGAGAATAATTTCATTTTATCTTTTAAACTTGAAAAATTCCAAGTGTTAAAACAAGCGTCTGGATATTATTGTCCTCTGTGGAAAGGCAGTAGCCTGGTGAAGAGGTGACTGTGCATTTTGCAGCCTGTCTCCATTTCGGGGCCTTCCTTTAGCCTTAGAGCAGAGCTCTGTGTCAGTGAACAGCCGTGGACCTGTAGTCCCGGGGGGAACAGCCGCGCGGACCTGTAGTCCTGGGGGGAACAGTCCACGTGCAGGTGGGACCGAGTGTGACGTGGGAGGAACGGTGCCCTTGGCAGCTCCTTTTGGGAACCAGCACGTTTGAGAATCCCACGTCGTGTTGCTTCCCGGGGATCTCTCTGGCAAGGAGAGCGTCCTCAGTGCTCAGAGGTGTCCTGGAGTGGCCTGGGTTTAGGCGCGCGTCACCGCCGGCTCGTGTGGTGGTGGCACGGGCTTTACTCTGAACATGCGGTGCCACATCTGAAAAACGGCTCATTTAATAGAGGTTTTAATTGAGTGAGTGGCCTGGGAGGCTTCAAGTGCAGTGTTTGGTGACACTATCCATTTAGATAAGGAAATGTGTATTAGGAAGTATGGAAAGCTTGGAGCATGCAGCAGAGGAAGGACATGCTTCTGGTTACGCCAGCCAGCTCACGTTGCTTCAGTCTGGTTTTGGTCCTTGGGTTTTCCATGCGCCTCCCCGGCCCTGCTCGGACCTCTGTCACCATCTGTGGAAGGAGATGGTCCCATTCACCCATGGGTCCTGTCGCTAGAGGCTCTGTGTGGCAGAGGCCCAAGCGAGCAGGCCTAAGCCAGGCTTGGTAGGCCCACCTCAATGGGGGACATACTGCTTGGCCCAGTTTTTCCTCTTGGAGGACAGGGGGACGTTCTGCTTGGGTCTTGGTGCATCCTGGAAGCTGGATGTGCCCTTAAACACTGGGTGCCTGTGTGAGGAGAGGGGCTGGGCTGGTGCTTCAACATGGCCATGGAGGGGACAGTCCCACACCTGGGCCCCAATGGCTGGGGCTGCCAAGACTGGATCATTCCCATGCCATAGGGATGGTGTCTGTGGAAAGCTTGCTGTGAAGTGGAGAGTTGGATGCCAGACTGAACCGAAATTGTAGAAATAAGTCTCCCTTTTGTATGGTTTCTATGGTTTGTGCAAGCAACTTTCTGCTAGTGAGAGCATCTTCTCAGTGTTACAGACAATCGTCAGCTTAGCAGATATGGTCATACATAAACACGTGTGGGTAAGTGGAAGTTTCTTCCAACCACGTTTGAGTGCTGGACTGAGCTTTATTCTTTTTTAATTTAAATGGAGACAGAAGGGCTTTATTTGGAGATGAAAACTCTGCAGAGCGCCTGTGTGATGGGAGGCAAAGGAGAGCGTGAGGTGACTGCAGAACTTGGAAGCCTGACCTTCCCTCCTGGCCCGGGGGCCCAACAGAAGCTCTCGTGGGTGTTGCTGGCAGGTTAGGAGAAGGTTTGAACGTGCGGCCTCCCGGGTCTCCTAGTCTGAAAGGAGGAGCTTCCCCCTGCAGCAGGTGTGGGTGACTGCCCAGCAAAGGGAGGCGAAACTGGCCCTTCCTTTCTCTTGTTCCTCGGGTGCATATCAAACGGGAGCCCCTCTCCTAAGTGCCTGCTCCTCTCCCTTTACAAAGCCAGGTCAGATACTCTGTTTATATTACTTTGGAATGGAAAAGAATGAAGGCAGCTTCTATGGCGCAGGACTTGAAAAGGCTCCACTTGTTTTTCATGATAGCTGCTGGAAACCTTCTCCCCCTCCTTCTCCTTGCCCCGTCCCACCCCATCCACCTCTTCCTTTGTCAGGGACCTGTCACATCTGACACCTTTGCAGTAAGGTACAGAAATGCAAATAGGGAAATCCAGCAGCACCTCATCAGAGGATGTAAACTTTCTGTGAACCTAATTTGTGGATTAAGAAAAAAGCCTTACAGCTCACACATTTCCAGGATGCTTTTGACACTCTTTARAAAAACCACCAGTGGCTTCGCTTTGCCCTGGCTTCTCCTTTKGAAGGGATCAGGGAGGGATGCCGGAAGGCCAGCGCGGCCGTTGCGGTGCCTCCCGCATCCCGAGGCCACGGCGGCTCTGGGGGGTGGGAAGGCAGTGGGTGGACGTGCCGGCTCTCCTGGAAGTGGATCCCATCCATGCGGCTGGAAGGCAGGATGCGGAGCGCRGCTCCCAGAGCTGCTCCCGCTGGTGTCCCCAACTCCGTGCAGGTTGTCACGTCCCTCCTGGGATGTGCTGGATGCTGCTTGGATGCAGCAAGGCACTGGGAGAGCCCCACGAAGCAAGGGTGGATGCTGGACAGGACGGAGCTTGGTGATGGCAGCAGGTACCGCGGTGCGCAGCAGAGGGTCTGCCCCACTGCTGTGGGGCACTGTCAGCTGGATGCGCAAAGACAGGGAGATACCCAACACTCYGTGCTGTCTAGGGGACCCGGAGGCTTCATAGGACCAAACCCAGCCCTGCGTGGGCACGAGGGAGAGGGACTTGCTCAGAAAGGTCATCGTGGGTGTAGGGTGTTACTTGTAGTGCAAGTGTCCCAGGCTGCCCCTTCGTTTGCACCTCAAAGGGCTAAACTCCCTCCCTGGAGCAGAAAGGTCCTAACAGCAGATCTCACCTCCCCTGGCTGAGCTGCGTTTTGCCCTCTGCCCCAGTTCAAAGAGAATTTAGCACAAAAAGGGGCTGGAGAAGCTGCACAGCTGTGGGACACCCACCTCAGCTACCTCAAAGAAAATGACCATTATCTTCCGTTTTTATTCCAGGGGGTTGTCAACCAAGTTACACATCTAGTCCTTGGGTATTTAGTTGCTTCCTTGCTTGCTTGTTGTGCGTTCGGGAACTTCCCCGTGTTTAGCAGCCCCACACTCCGTTGTTGCGTTTTACAGKCACCGCTCGGTGATCCTGCGGCATAAGGAGCCCCCCAGGCCCTGGCCCTATTTCCAAAGCTGCTGCAGGGGCTCTAGCCAATTGTGCCAACTGCAGGGGACAAAAGGAGACAGAGAACTATTAAATAGATRCTATTTACCAAGCCCTTCTGGAGGCAGCTCTGTGAACAGCACTGCCCAGGACAGAGGCTTTAAGGTGGGTTTGAAGCTGGCAGGGATAGAGGAGCAGGGAAAGCTGCAGCCTAAGCCCAAGCCTAGCCCCGAGTGGGTTTCTCACCCCTAGTCTAAACACCTTCCTGTACTAAACACCAGCACCATTTGAATCCCAATCCTTGAGCTAACAAAGCTTAGCGGGAGAATTAAGTGCTTAATTACCAGCATTGTTTCGCCCACACCTCGGTACCCTTGTTGCTAGATAACAATAGGCAAGTGCAAGTTCCCAAGGGTGAGGGGCAGCACGCTCAAACAGATGCAAGCTCGGTGAAATTCAGCGTGTTTTTTTATTAAAGAGTAAAAATAAGACCATTTTCCACCCAAATATACATAAAGCCACAGGCACCTCCGAGGTGCCGCCAGCAGAACGCGCCGCGGGAGCCTCCCTAGGCCAAGGCCCCGTCCTTGGGCACTTGGTTTTAAGGGCGCTCTCGCCGCCTCCCCCTTCACTGAAGGTGGGACACGAGGCTGCTGCCGCCCCCCTGTCCGTGTCCCCCACACGGGGACACCCCAACCTCCCCCGAGAGGGGCCCGCGCCCTCCCGGGGTCCCGCGGGGACAGAAACAAGCGCACGGGGGCCTCTCCTTGGCGGAGAACGGCGGTGGTCCCGGGCCGCCGACGGGGCCACAACGGCGGCCACGGGCTCACAGAGCAGCTTAGCTGCTCGACCCGCCCGCGCCGGCCCCTCTGGGCCCGGCCCGCGTCTCAAAGCGCCGCTCCAACGTCGCCGCCGCTACCAGGGTCTCCACATGGCCGGGGCGGGCGCGGCGGGCGCCGTGTGTCCCGGCGCGGGCGCCGTGTGTCCCGGCGCGGGCTCGGGCGCTGCCGCCGCCGCCGCCTCGGGCGCCGCCGCCTCGGCCAGCAGCTCCCGGAGCGCGCCCTCGTGGAGCGGCATGGCCTCGAGCAGGTGGTTGAGCAGCGCGGCCGCCGTGGCGCCCTCGATGGCGGGGCAGGCCGACACGAAGGTGTGCACCTCGTGCATGCACTGGATGTAGCCGGCGGCGAAGCGCTCGCTGGCCTCGCGCCGCAGCCGCCCGCGCGGGC